TGTTTTTGATTTGGTCCAGTTCCGTACAAATGCAAACCCATTTGATCATCCTCATTTCAACAGTGTGAAGTTGTCTTTCATGGTTTTTACTTACGTCACAGCACTCACTGCCGTAGAGCATGATGGCTCTTATCACTGTACGGTTCAACTTTCCTTTGAGTTTCCAAGAACGCCGTCGGTCATTAAGCTTACTAGTGGACTCCCCCGATTCATCTATGCTGGGTTTCACACCATGATTCCACCGTGTTATCAGCGGACAGGTCCTCAGTGATCGGAAGTGCTGTAGTGGAGAAGACAAGGAATTTCCAGTTCTGCACCCAGCTGTTTGGAGTCTGAGTCCCTCATGCTTCCATTTGTGCTTTAGGGAGGTTGAGTCTACGCAGGCAGGATGAGCATGCACATTCGCTCTGTTACAGGAGCTCTTTCCTGGTAAACGGCAAACATTTTCTTCTTAAAGCGACTAAAAGATCAAGGTGTCAGCTGCTTTCTCAAAATTTCTTCAGAATAGATACTGGCACTTAGTTTTACTTCTTTCACGGAAATATCAATGCGACTAGTTGCCGAAGCCACAGCCCAGCCAACGACGTAGGCTTCGATGCTTTTCGTGAAAAACCTTTCTCGACTGAGACTAGTTGGAAGAAGTTTTGACATACAGTTTCGTTCTAGGGATGGACTGTTTCAACAGTAGATGCGGTCTCTAAAGGCTTTCCTTGAAAGCGATACTGCAAATCAGAAGCTGAAGTAAAATTCTGACCATAAGGATTTGGAGAGCCAATAGCTGGTGTCGTCCTGTAGAAAAGCGGTCTTTAAGGGTTTCATACTCGTTTAGGGCCTTTTTCTCTTTTGTCTCGGGCGCGCTTCGTTGCGCGCGTCCGTCGGGAGTAGATCACACCGCAGTCGTCGCTTGTGCGCGTCAGCCCGCGATACTTGACAGACGTCGCAGTTGTCAGCGTAGCATACGATTTGCACTTGGTCCATGGCAGTCAGCTCAAAGAGAAAGGACAAATGCAAATCAATCGCTCCACTGACACTTGGTGGTACTGCGATGTCATCGCGAGACCTCAGTGGGGTGCGCCATGCGCGATGAGGGCGGTGTGATCTACATACTTTCAACGAACGCGCGGAACGGACGTTCCCCGGGCAGCCTAGTATAGATTAACATCCCCCTGACCCACTGTAAGATTTTTTATGAACCCCTTACATCCGAGACCGCAAATGGCGCTGCAAATACTCTAAAGCTGGCCGAGAAAGTTGCGAGATTGGCGACGAGTAGGGCTAACTACTTCTTACTGGAAAGAAATAGCTTCTTACTCAGATGTAGTACATTGCTTTATCATCTCTTTGACGTTTTTCGATGACAACAAGTCACATCCTTTCACAATTGCAATTCCTCGCTCATGTAGACGATCACAATTCCCTTGTTGCTCAAAGTTCGACGGAATACATATTACCTAAAATCAGATAAAACGAATTTTTTTAGATCTCTGAATTTTACTAGGGGTTTGTTGCCCTTTGTTTTGAGCGAGTTTGTAAGCACGCAAAATAAGGACTGCAGTTTGAAAAGGTCTTTGCACGGAAAGCGAGGCTGGGCGACTCAGCTTTGTCCCGTTGTCTGCGCCCTCTCACATGGACATCGGGTCATGCAAGCATTGGACATAACTGTATTTCTGTAATTACTAGTCCTTTCGTGAGGTCTTACATACTTATACTTATACTTATACTCAAGTAGTACAACATACTGTTTTTTTTTTTTTGCTAAGCTTCGCTCAAGTATATCTCATCGCTGATGCCTTCTTAAATATGAACAAAATAAGCGCCATGATTACTCCACATTACTCTACTTTTGTACTAATTGATATGTGGTTGAGTGTTGTTGTTTTTCAATCGCCTTTATTGACTTGAATTGTTTTTTGACGTACTGATTGCCATTTCAACAATATTTATACTACCCTAAAATTCCATAGATAAGAGCGGGTGAACCTACCGGTGAAAAATAAATTGGAATGAAATTGAAATTGA